TTTCCTTCTATTGCGCTCCGAGTTCATCTTTTTTGGAGTGATGGAGGGGGGCCGCGAAACAGAGTCCATTGTTCGATGATGAAGGCGAACGTACTCTTTTCGCGCACGACCATTGAGGTTGATCTACGTCACTACGATTGGTTTGCTTAAAAACCATGGAAATGCAACAAAGATCTCGTTTGTGCCTCTTGGCCAGGATAGATAAATAATTTTGCCATAAATACATAAAATCAGAATTAACGCTAACAAAAATATTACAACCAGACTGTAGACCTTTAAGGAAAATAAAAATAAATTTAAAATAAGTTTTAAATAGATTAAAAGGAATATAGGAACGTTATCTAATTTTTCTAATGCATTTAAAGTTTGATCATTCCTTTGGTCATTATAAAATCCGCAGCACAATTGAAACATATTTAATGCGAGCTTTGAAAACAAGTTGTATACAAACAAAATATCTATTTCGAGAAACGATCGACTTCTCTAAAAATCTATCGAATCGACAACTCACATTCTTGCAACTATGTGCACACGATAAAATACGCCGCAATGGTAAAATACAGTTTGATTTCTAACGACATGTTTCTGCGTTGCGACTGTTCAGCATTACAGAAATGATAATTATCGTTAGTGCATGATTAGCTTACACAAAGGAAGCCGTGTCCGTTAACAATACTAAAGATAGAGAATGACAAACTAATGAAGCGAAAACCGTGGCAAGCGAAAATAGTAGGAACGCGGAAGAGCATTTGCTATTTTACTAGTTAGCGGCGTCATATTTACACGTGGCTCTATCTTGGAACACGTGTATTTCGAAATAGCTTGGTACACATAATATAAGAATTGAACGCAAAAGCAATATATCGATGGTAAACGGAACAAGCATCGCGTGGTTTTAATCGAATTACGCGCACGACGGAGTGTTTCGCGCAACAAAAACGAATGTATCATAATTTCAAACAGTTACGGAACCACCGATATATTGTTCGGGAATTATTCAAATCATCGAAGAGATTTCTATTTTGGTTTCGACCACGTGCATCCGAATAAAAACAAATTACGACATCGTGTAACAATGCCTGCATTTCCCGCGAAAAACGGAACTGTCGCTCGATTCTGTTGTTTATGAAAACTACCGAGCCGACGCGACACTGCGCTGTCAAGAACAAAATTGCATTACAGTGCACAACGGGAACGATCGAATTATCTCTCGGCAGAAATCTACTTTACCCTCGTCGACAAACCTAGAAACAGTTATCCTCTTTTTACAGCGAGAGAGTACCCCGCGAGAGACCAGGAAAACTCGTTAGAATCGAGTCAAGGAAGTTCCTAGCCTATTTTCTCACAAAACAAAGAGAACGGACACGCCGATGAAACGAAAACAGCTCGCAATAGGAAAACGGAAGCATAGTTGGCATTCTTGGCTCGGATATACTACGATAATGGACAGTTGTCATATACGCGTCGCTGGTACAAATAAAATAAGCTGCGCTCTCTTCCTGGAGATAACGTTGTTCTGCCCTCCCCCTCCCCTGCCCCATTCCCACCAACAACCCCTTCCCGAGCCCCTCGCACCACCTCGCGATTCGTCCACGCGATCCAACACACAACCACGTGCGCTTCCACGAAAGTGCAAACCGAAACGAACTTCGAGTCGTGTTCGAAAAAAAGAAAAAAACACGTGTCCGCAACAGCGAGTTTCCAGGGTCAACGTAGTGTCGTGCAATCGACAGTTATCACGTGTGTATCTCGTTCGATTGAACCCCGTCGAGGAATCGCGCACAACCGATTAAGAAACACATACCGCGCGCACGCATGCAACATCGAAATAATCTCCGCGATAAAACCGTCGCGCACATTCTTTTGTTTTTCACCACCGCGCGAGATATGTATTTACATACGTACAATTTTTCGATCCCTTAACCGGTACCATGATCTTCACAGAAATTACTGGAACACCGGGAGTCAGGGCTTAGGTCTTCGCAGATCTCGAATAAAAAGCACGCCGAAGAATCGAATTCTAGATGAACGCCCCGTTGATATTTCATTCTTAGATAGTTTATAAAAGAAAAAAAAAATAACGGAAACTTGGCAACTTAAACTTTTACCAGAACATAAAATAACATTGTTCAACTCTCACACGATCAACCGGTTTCAATGTTGACGCTCGAAACGCGGGATCATTTATAATTGTATCTAGCAATTTTTCTGAACAGATCTTCGAAGGTACAACGTGGAACGCGTGCGAAAATTTCGATCGACTGTCGGAATTCGAATCGGCATATTTATACCGTTGAATGGATTGTAACACTCGGGAAAGATGTATGTATATAGCGAATGATCCAGGAAAGCGCGAACAGACGCGTCGCCATCTAGGCCAGAATGTAAACAAAGGAAGCGAGAGGAGCGCGGCCGGAGATTCGCGTGCACACCGAAGGTTCGACGTACCTTTCGAAGAAATGGAAACGAGGAAAGTTACGGTGAAGAGGCTGCCCCTCGCCGACGGGATTCTGCTCGAGCAGGACCGGATCGACTTTCACGATCGACGTAAAGGTGGTGTTCCTTCCGCCACGGTTGTTTCTCGGTGTTTTCTCCCGCGTCGTTGCCGGCGCACGGTCGATCATGCACGACGCGTACCGGGTCGTTCTCGCGGCGGTTCGAATTTCGAAACTCGAGACGCGCCAATTCTCGCGGCACCGGGGCGAGAAGGTGACCGAAAAGATCGAATGTGAAAGCATCGACGCCTGCCCGTGACGCGACGAAACGCTTCCACTGCCGGTTGCCGGATGACTGACGGAGCCGTGTCGCGCCTATTGGCCAGCACTGAAACTGCGACACCTGGCGCCCCGAGCTTCGAAACACTCCCGATTCCCGGACGTGTCTGCCCGTGAACACCTGTCGTACAGACACCGGAAACCGGCCTGCTTTTTGGCCGAGACCCGTTGACACTTCGATTGACAGACCCGGCGGGATGTTTCCAGTGGCACGTCCGATTTTTCGGGTGCCGGTGAATACGGCTAGACAGCGATCTAACGTGGCGCAGACCGTGAATCTTTGTGCAAAATAAAAATTGTCTACGCCGATGGCAACAAGCAGAAGTCCGACAGGAAACCCTTTCGAACTTTGATAATTTCAGTGGGTTAAAAGTATGTATTCTTAAACACTTCTAATTGAACACTTTGACAGCCGTATCATCTATGTGTGAGTGATTGTTTCATCAGATTTGAAAATTCATTTGTACGCTAATCTGTTATGTCGTTTTAATTTTATTAGGACGCGCAAACCGTAAAGATGCGCAACCGCGAGAACGTTGGAAGTGAAATTGGTATACAACGTAACATTTCAAGTTTCATTTCATTAAATAAAACGCTTTAATTTTGTGAAATATTTTAAATTTTGCTAGTAAAATACCGGGCGCTGAGAAACCTTAACAGGTTTCTTTATAAAAATAGACCTTTGAACGGTTTTTTAAGAAATTCTCACCCATTGATCTTCGGCTTTAAAAGGACTACCGATAGATAAAGTGTTGACACTACGTCAGTCAAAATGATTGGTTTCATATACTTTACTTTAAAATTATTAAAATTATGAAGAACCTTTCATAAGAAAATATCGAATAAACTTCTTAGCTCAAGTATATATATATTATACTAAAAATATTAAGAATTTTAAATAAATTTAGTTTTGTGATTCTTATGATGCAACACGTGTTAAATCACTTTCAGCGATCGGTAAGTTTTGTGTTAACCCTTTCACTGCTGACTAAAATGAGAAAGTATAGTTAAAGAAATATTTACTTTTTGTATTATTTTTATGGTTTTATAACGAATTATAAGGAGAATGGTAGATTAAATTATTCAGAAGTACCAGAAATTCAAAATGTGACCGTCGCACGTAGCACGACGTATGGATTAAAAGGGTTAATCCTCTGCCGGTATTACGGGGTCTTTAGGGTCAGCCAAACATTTCTTTGTGTAATTTCTTCGAAACAATGTTTAAACGATTAAATTTAATTATTTACTTTACTTACTTTACCTATTTTCATACAAATTTACACTAATAGTGATCGAAGCACATAGACTCGAATGAATAAATACGTGTATATCTTTGGAAACTGCACTATAATGCAATGTTTTTAAACTTATTATATGAAAGGATATAATGATTAATAAGAAAATACATGGGAAGGTAAAAATTTGTTAGCAGAATTCAATTTTGACTCTGACAAGGTGATAATTAATAACGTTATATAATCTTTAACATCGTAAAAATGTTAACTTGTCCTTTGATATAAAATTCACATAATTGTAAACAAATTAGTAAGATGGATTGCTGAATAATTAACTCCGTGGATTCCGATTTTCAAAATGGAAACCTAAGGCGATGTGATACTGGCATCAAATTTACTAAAAATTTCCTTAGTGAAATTGATTGTAAATACAGTTTAATTACTGAATTAATTACGAATTTTTATACTAATTTACATTTTTGTGGCTGAAGAAAAATTTGCATGTAAATAGATTGTTGTGGTTAAACGATATTAACTTCTAAGAAGTTCGGTGTTCCACTGTTTTAGTTTTTAATTTTTATGGCCTACAATATTCCAATATTCCAATAATAAGTATATTATAAAAATAAAAGAAGCGACGCAAAATCCCTTTTTACCCTCGCACCCTTTTCGTTACCGCAGCATTTGTTTTATCTATATTTGTTATTAAAGACACGCACATAGTAATTTTTTCATAATGATAGATACATTTATTATAATACCAATATAACTACAAAATATTGCAATGAAAATATGATAAAACAATCTTCTTATAATACCTATATGGATAATAATAATAAAAAAGTAATATTTAGAGTAACAGTATAAAAATTTGTTCTCGTGATATCATCGAATTCCTTTTTTGAGAAACTTTACTAATTTGATTATTTGTCACATAATTTTCCTTTTCCATGGAATTGGAATTCAGAGCGATTCATGAAAAAATATTGAATTAAAAGTTCCGATGAGATATATATTTAGTATAAAAGAAAACGTTAAACTGGTATCCAAAACGTACAAAAGAACTTTTGCCAGTAATTATTGAATATACTCACATGTTGGTAGATGTATTACAATGAAAACCGTAACTAATCAGATCGAACGTAGTCTGTAATTTTAACAAGAAATTACAAACAAGCCACTTAAAGTGCTCGGTACACCTAGTGTTATATCGGTAGACCATTCCAGAACAGGTTTCCCTACGACTCAGCCGCGGCTGAAGTTTTTTAATATGAGAAACCTTGCGAACATCTGATCTGACACGAGAACTTTGGTAACCTGGAAATCGAAGCATTTTTTGAGCTTTGCATTAGGTTTTATTACTATCTTCTTCCGTAGGATGGCAACAACCGTTAGAGGTTGATGTGTATTTTGCTGATTTTCTATGTAACTTAAAAATTATGGTATAGTATACAAAAAAATTGGGGCACCTTCTAAACGAAATAAAGCACTCGAATGAAATTTGCCAATATTTCGAATGAAATTATTAACGCTTTTCCTACGTTTTTTATATGAATACACAACACCGATTCGTCACTGAAAATCATGAAATTTTCACGAGAATTTTCTTATATCCACTATACTTCTCGAGATATTTAGGAAAAAAACACGTGGTTCCGCTACGAAGTTCCTTTGTGAATATTCTTGAACATCCAAAGCGAATTTCGGCATGATTTATAAATATCATTATAGAATAGCTAAAGAATTTGTCGAAGAACATCAAAGAATTTTTGTAAATTTGTTGTGTGCTACGAGGATTCCGCGGCTTCGAAAGCGATTACTTCACTAATCTCCTATTATTATGTCCCGTTTTTTTTTCTTATCAATCAGCATACAAAATGTGGCAACGCGCGTCGTTCACTTTAATCGGCGCCTCGTAAAATTAACATTAAAGGATACGTCTGTGAATGGTAAATCGGAAATTTGTATAGACTTACAATTTTCCCGAATCCTCGACGACGAATAACGTCGAAACTCCTCGTAGGTGCCCCAGTTTCGCAATTTCTGCCTATAAAAGTGTTATTTGCATAAGAATCGGCAGTCTGTACAATAGCACTTTCGAAATCTGAAAATTCAATGATAAGCCCGTGTAATGCGCCGGGACATTTTGACAGTATGCTTTTAAGATGCTCGTGCTGCATTTTGCAGACCGAGATACACCATCGAACGATGACATAAGTTTGCACTTTGCTTCACTACGAAACTCGTTGCAAACTCTTACGTAACTGACAACACAAGCAGCGAACTGCAGCGTGAGAATTAAGTTATCGGAATGATTTTGTAATTTATCCGCATTGTTGAAAATTTCATGCGCGACTTTCGCGTAGTACCGACGTTCTACTGAAAAAAAAAATATCAAATTCATTGAACAAATTAGGTGCTTCATCGTTGGAATCTTCACTCGTTACTAACCAACAGTCTTCGCAAACCGCAATAAGATAAGGAAAAGAACTAAACTTCAGTGTCTTGTAATGATTTTCAAGTGGAATGACTTGTCACTTCTACACATCGGGTTTTCAATGATAGTTTATTTAATCATCTCTATTTATTGAAACATTTCTTTTTTACAGTAGACTGCGCAAATCTTTGTTTATCAAAATTGTTCAATGATGAAATCATTGAAAAAATCCTGAAGTTTTATTCAAATTATTTTGACAGGGTAGAAAAAACACCTAATATTATTATAATCATGATATGTCAACAAATCAATTTTAAATTCTATTTTTCATGAAAATGTATTTGTTTGTCTGAACTATCACACTATAAATGTCGTAAATGAATAGGTAAAAAATCCTTTAAATTTAAAGTATAGTCAATTTTGTAACAGAGGTATATGTTTACATAATAAAATATAGAATAAGCCTATTGTATGAAGTTTGATAGTGGAATAGATCTAATTTATGAAGTTCCAGTATCTGGATCACGTCGATTATTTTACAATCGTAGTGAGTTGATGATTCTGCGACATTGTAAATTATTCATGCACGTGTATGCTAAATAATACAGCCGCACACAACATCAAATTAATGTCACATACTTATCTGAAAGTATATGTTAATATTTAAAGGGATTTGGTGATGCATGCATTCTCCAGCAGATGTCGACACCGATACGTGTTTTCTTGGACGATAGCAACGAGAGACAGTAAATGACGTTCAGAAATCAGATAAAAAAAGGAAACCAAATGTTGTGCCTCTGTACATTGTCAAAATATCGTTGTTAGCATCCGTGTTGTTTTCGGTCTTCTTCGCAAAATCTGTCTGACAATATCAGACAACGTGCATGTGTTATAAAATACAAAATAACGACGTATCGGACCGATAACTTGAAGTCGGCAGCGTCGTTTTCGTTTCTTTCGCACAGCTGATGGCTGTACCGAAATGATGCCTATGCAGACAGAACTATTTTCGTAATTTTCACTTCAGTTCAACTGGACGTCTTACCACCGGCTTTTTAAACGATTTTTCTGGGACTATCGAAATGGAGTTGGCGGGACAGAGTCAGGTGCAAAATTCCTCCAGTAACAATGATGGCTCTGACAATAAAGGAAGGTAAGATTTCTATTGTGTACGATTTTTTCAATTTTACATTTCCGTTCTTGACATGTATTTCTCATAATCTGATGCCACTACCTAAAGCATCTCGTTTAACGTATACATTTTGTTGTTTTAGTTGCTTGCTGCTACGGTATGCTAGTCAGAACTCCTTGGATGAGAGCTCTCAGAAACACATTCCACGAGAAAGTGGTAAAGATAAGCCACCTTACAGAAATCATCATCACAAGAATCGGGCTTTCGATGTTATTAATGAAATGAGAAAGTATGTACCTGAAAGTATTTTATACTGTAATGAAAACATTCGAATATATGTGTCCAAAACAGAGAATTATATCAGAGTCTGTTGTTGGACCAGTTGTATTTGTTGAGTTCACGTTTTGTAACTACTTATGAATTAATTTGATTACTTGCTAGGAAAAATTCGTTATGCGATGTGATATTGGTGACTGATGGAGGAATGGAAGTACCTGCACACAAAATGATCCTTGCCGCTTGTAGTCCTTATTTTTACGCTATGTTTACAAGTTTTGAAGAACGAGATCAGGAAAGAATAACTTTACAAGGAGTTGATTACTCAGCACTAGAATTATTGGTAGATTATGTATATTCAGCAGAAGTGCATGTAACAGAGGAAAATGTGCAAGTACTGTTACCAGCTGCAAATCTTTTACAACTGACTGATGTACGCGACGCATGTTGTGACTTTTTACAAGCTCAGTTACATCCATCAAACTGTTTAGGAATTCGTGCATTTGCTGATCTCCATGGGTGTATGGAATTGTTATCACATGCAGACAGTTACATCGAGCAACATTTTTCGTAAGCGAACACAAATTATTTTATTTTGATACACTCTCTGCTGTAATTACTAAATATTTTATTTTACACATAGGGAAGTGGTGGATGGTGAGGAATTTTTAACATTAGCTGCACAACAAGTTTCTAAATTGATTTGCAGTGATCATTTAATGGTACCTTCAGAAGAAAAAGTATTTGAATGTGTAATATCATGGGTACACCATGATTTAGAAAAAAGACAAGATGATTTGGCTCAATTAATGGAATACGTCCGTTTACCATTACTCTCACAGGAATATTTAGTTCAACGGGTCGAGGAAGAGCCACTTTTGAAAGCAAATTTACAATGTAAATGATAAAATATTCCCTTGCATATGACATGTGGAGTGGTTTAATGTACGAGTATTAAACATTGCATTTTTCTTACTCCATTCAGGTAAGGATTTCTTGATCGAAGCTCTAAAATATCATTTATTGAAGGGAGAACAAAAGTCGTTATTTAAGACACCTCGTACGAAACCCAGGCAGCCAAGATGGTTGCCTAAAGTGTTGTTAGTGGTTGGTGGTCAAGCTCCGAAAGCAATTAGAAGCGTTGAGTGCTACGATTTCAAGGAAGAGAAATGGTATCAGGTATCAGAATTGCCAACACGTCGCTGTAGGGCAGGTACATAACATATCTTGATGTCAACTATTAATCTTTGAAATACATTATGGAATACTAAGTGTAACATGATATATAGGTTTATCTGTCCTGGGCGGCCGTGTATATGCTGTTGGTGGATTTAATGGGTCACTTAGAGTGCGAACAGTAGACATTTATGATGCAGCCACAGACCAGTGGTCACCTTGTCCAGAAATGGGAGTAAGAAGATCGACACTTGGTGTGGCAGTTCTGGGCAATTGCATTTATGCTGTACATATTTATTTTTTTTTGTTACTAGTATATAAAAGTACTACCACCAATAACTATCAGAACATTTCATTTTCTTCAACATAAATATATAGTTACATACGACTATCACAGAGAATGTGTAAATTATTTAATAAATATAATAGGTTGGTGGATTCGATGGATCAACTGGTTTAAATTCCGCTGAAGTATACGATCCAAGGACACATGAATGGAGGCTGATCGAGCCAATGTCAACGCGTAGGAGTAGCGTCGGTGTGGGCGTTGTTAAAGGATTGCTATATGCAGTAAGTGTAATAATATTATCTCTAGAATCTAAAAACATGCAGCATGTACAGTTGACACAGCTTTACGCTTTCGCATATAAGTAACATTTATTCATAAATCGAAACGCACTATGAAGTACGCGAATCTTTTCACCGAAACAAATTTAAGAGTACTTTTGTGGAAAGTAATACCATGTTTCTTCAGGTTGGCGGTTACGACGGAGCATCTCGACAATGTCTTTCCAGTGTTGAATGCTATAACCCAGAAAAGGATCAATGGAAGCCGGTACCTGACATGTCTGCACGTCGCAGCGGTGCCGGTGTTGGCGTTTTGGATGGAATTCTATATGCTGTGGGCGGTCACGATGGTCCTTTGGTTAGGAAAAGTGTAGAAGCATTCAATCCGGATACTAATCAGTGGACCCCAGTTAGCGATATGGCCCTTTGTCGCAGAAACGCTGGTACTTATTGTTTTGTGTACTTTCAACTATTTCCTATGTCAAATAGACAATATAATACAACATAACAATCAAATAGACAGAGCCTTTGTCTTTCACGTGATATATTTCACATAATATTTCTTTCATAACTAGACTTATATATACTTATGCAGACATATATAATACTTATTGTTAAATCTCGAATCAGAAATCATTCCTATAAAAATTCTCAAAAATTGCCGTATAATCAGATTGTTAAATTAGAAAGGCCTTGAAGTGCTCAAATTATGTGTAAGACCTCGTGTAACTTAGGTAATAAAATGGTAATTATTTTTCGTATTAGGTGTTGTCGCGCTAGGCGGTTCCTTGTACGTGGTGGGTGGTGACGATGGTGTATCAAGTCTAGCGTCCGTCGAAATCTATTCGCCGAGGGCTGACACCTGGACGACGCTGTCGACGTGCATGGGGATCGGTCGCAGCTACGCGGGTGTCGCGATAATTGACAAACCGATGCCATCTACGACATCAATGTGAGGATTGCAATCCGCTGGGCATGGAACAGAACAGAACCCAGACCCGGGTGCCGAAGCGTCGGATCAATCACGGGAAGCCGGGCCCAGCGGTGTGCAAGTCCAGAATCCAGATCAGAACATGCTCCAGCAGTATCGCGGCGCTGGTCATAACTGTCAAGGTCCGCGTTGCGTGTGTCAGAGATACGAGAATGGAGAACTGGCGGCTGTAGTGATGAATCAGAATCGAAGCAATCAAGAGAGAGACGACAATTATCAGAACACAGGGCGCAATGCGCGGGGCTTCCAAAACCGACTTGGTGGCTTGGCACAAGGCTACTCGAATCTAAATCCGAACTACCAGAACCCTATTGATTTGGTTCACAATTATAATCGTAATCGACAACCACACGAATCGGAAGAGAACATTTACGAGCGTCTGGACAACGACGACGACGACGAGAACAACGAGAATAACGGCGAGGCCAGTCGCAATGAACCCATTGCCCAGAACAATCAGGACGATCACATGTATGAGAGAATCGACGATCGATATTCTTGTAGCGGCAGAATATATTCCCGTTGTTACAAATACCATATCTTAAATCACATTGCTATTCCGAATTTCCTGTACGACATGGAGTCTAGAAACTCGAGTCAGTACGACCAGCCTCGTCAGATCTATCTAGACTCGCGTTTGTCCAGCCAGTGCTGCCAAAATCGGCTGGACCGATTGGGCCGTAATTGTTTCTCCACCGAAAACATTGCTCACACTTCCACTGGACGTACAATTTACCCACTCGGTTACAATTGTATGTGTTCCTTCTGCAGACACTTAGACCCTAGATACCTGTGTCATCACTGTCATAATTTGCATAACAGATCGCGCTATCAGGATGGGCCTGCGGGCAATTCTAGGCATGTTATATATCAATTGCCGAGAAACTGCAGGTGTCCCTTCTGTCGTGGCGAATACTCTTACGTGAAACTGCCTGTTACGTCCTGCCGACCTCCTGAGTTCTGGAGGATGGAATGCTATTGTAGGAATCCTAGTAATTGTTCTTGTAGATCCAAGGTTTTGTCTAACTGTAATTCTACTACTCAGGTCGGTAAATACCTTGACTGGATCGACAGAGCCGGCCCGTCAGTCAATAATCCCCTGTACGCCACAATCCACATTGGCAGACCCTGCGTTTCCCCTGCTGGAAACTTAGCTGCCGGAAGTAGCGTAGACCCTGGGCCTTCGACATCCGGCGCATCCACATCTGCGGCTGCTGCCAACGAGCCCAGCACGTCTTCGAACATCAGACCGATATTTTCTTCGCATAATCCCTCCACTTCGCGTGGCTCTGTTTGCTCTGCTAACCGTTCCACCGCAAAGCGCCAGCACACTTGCGACGATTCCTGCATCAGAAATCAAAGTGGAGGCATCGCCGGCATCTGTCAATTCTTCGGCAGATGCGAGCGAGCGGAATGCAATCATGGCAGATTGTCAGTGCATTGGTGGTATGTGAACAAGTGGCTGCTACCTTGGAGTCCTCATATCTTCGACAGGAACGTGGACGCTGTACCCGCGATGGAAGAGGAATCCCGTAATCAACACGATAGCGACAGCGACGACGCTTAATGACTATTAATCCCCTAATTTCTACGATCTAGTGATTCATTTGGCATTATTGGATAGCGTTTTATTGCGATTGTTTAGACGCCGTTCAGACTCCCGACCGTAACTGCTGCGAAAGTTAAGATAGGACTAAGTATCCGTGTCCCCTTATTTTTAACGAGTGTATAGTAATGAAGTTGTAATTTGTGATACTTGAGGAAATGATGTACATCTCCCTGCACGAGATAACGAGAGGAAAGTAATATCGATAAATAATCGCATTGTACTCCTTTGTTTGAACAATCAACATCCAGCTTGTTACGAATACCTTGGTAAGGACTAGATAACTATTGTTGAATCACATTTGAAGTTGAAATCTTCGGTTGGAAAGTTATTCTAAATGTTTAAGATGAATTCGCACATGTATCGACAATAACAATGCTTTATATGTGCTCCGGATATTCTGAGATATTTATGTCTAAGGATACGTCAGCTATAGATTTCGTTTATACATACATATGTTTATAAATACGTATAATGTCGCTTAAGCATACGCATAATCAAAGATAAGTTCTGCCAATATCTTGTTGAGAATTTATAGAAACTTTTTGAATTTTAATGACTATACCGCCTTTCAATGACCGCCTGTTTCGAACTGTTTTAATTGTACGATAAAAGAAAATTGCCAATTTTATCGCATTGATCCTCTTGTATAGAGAACTGTGTGTACAATAGACTAATATTTGAACATGTGTGTTTTACTGTATAATGATGTGAAATGTATAGAAATTGTAACTTTTATAATTCGTCGGTGATTCTTTTGACTCAGCGTTGTTTTCTGGGTCAAAGAGGAGAAGGAAAAGACGAGAAAGAGAGAGAGCGAGAAAGTGCTTCTGGCATATTTTTATAAGTTTAGTAATAAAGATGTCTGAATAAGTCGAAACAGAAATATCTTTTTTTAAATGTTAGTCGGACGATATTCGTTAGAAACAAATCATTGGTCAGAACACGATGAGATAAATATGTCGGGTATAAGAAGCTTTACGTTTGAACTTGAGAACTGTTATAAATACAAATCTATATTATTTTATTAAATCTTTATTAAGTCTATATTATGAACAAAATAGAGAACCATTTAAGAGCAACAACGTTGGAACATCATAGTCGAGTTAAGATCAACAAGTGTCTGTACATGACCATCGAAGCGTCATCTCTACGAAATTTTGTACTGTCTCTTATATCATGGTAGACGCTCCCAGTAAATCAACAGGTAGCTACACAGTTAGTGTCTGTAGCATAAGTTAGTAGGGAATCTAATCTTAAATGACCAACTGGTTGCTATTATTTGTTTGTAATTATCGTACTTGATTCGTATGTGGAACTCATGACGGGAAACTAAGAAGAATTGACTCGCAATATTTGAATGCTCTTGCGTGTACATTATTATTACATTATTATTACTATAGTCGATATTAAGTCGTCCTTATAAAATTCTAGGTTTATAAATCTGAAAATGTATTATATATTTTATTTTAATTAGTCTCTACAACGTACCATACAAAATTTCATCCAAGGCGAATAGAATAAATTGCAATACCTTCGGCGTGTAATATAATTTTTACACTCACAAGGACAGGTTTAAACATATCCTTAGATATTTTACGACTTAAGCATTAATTTGTATGTAAGATTCGTAATGAAACAATATTTTGAGCCTAATATACTAAATTGTAAAATTCGTGTTGGGTTAATTCCCTCTGTAACAATACAATGAACCCTCACGGATTCGCCAAATGTATATTTATTTTTTGTATTTAGTAGTTCACAATATATACCATGACAATTAATTGAATAAAAAAACATTGATTATAGAAAGTTTACACGAACAAAGTTCCCCTTTAACCAAATGTATTAGTACATGTATGATCTATGTATATATGATTGTTATTTTTTGGTATTATTCAAACTGTAAGCATTTGATATTAACAGTGAAAAGGTTTGATAANAATATGTTACCAGTTTCCCGTAAATTACTGTAGGAGTTTTTATAAATATAAGAATTTTTGTGTGTGTAACTCTCTTACTTTCAAAGGGTACTGATTGTACAATGCTTCTTTGTCACAATAGCAATATAAAATACCAAATGTCTGAATTACTTTATAAAGCAATATTATAATGTGGAAATTTACATGTATGCAAATATATGTAATTTGAAAAATTATCTTTTTTTTTCAATTCATTAATTCAGAATCTATTTAAGATATTTAAATTATATGATTTTTGTTTATTTCATCGGATACAGGATAAAATGATCTCTTTTGAATTCGACCAATTAATAGATTTATCAATATACTAGAACTTATGTATACACACATATATGATGCGTATTTTACATAATTTTAATAGTTCACTATCTGTTAATCTCTGTTACTCTCGAATAAACGCATTGACTGATATCTCAGCCAGTTCACCAACGATAGTGAATTTCAGACTACAATACCAATTAACGTACCTCAGAACGCTTTTGCAAGAGTATAAATGCCTTTACTATTGATACACATATATTGACTTTGAGAAAAGTTGGTCACTCCCTCATGAGCGAAGGCCAACAGCTATCACTTTGGTGGTATAATAGCCCTAATATCAATGTACTGCTACGGTGTACGCGTTTCTGTCGTTAAATCTTTTTATCTTTCTATTATCCAGTCTATTAATAATCCTTTCAGTCCCTTATTGGCAACGCTGTTCATTACTCTCACCGTTTTCTTCAGTGTATTATCCGTAAAGTTTTCAATTTTCTAATGTTTCAAAATTCAGTATCTTATAATTTTTTTAAATTGTCTAAGTTAATTGTAAGAGACACAGGTTCGATAAAAGCGTCCTCTTTAAGCAATTATAGCAAGTTGAAAATAATGGAACAATGTTCTTAAATTCTTCTAATGCCTCCAATTTTTTGTACTCGATCTATTCATATTTCTGACAAATGCATCAAATTCGCTGACTTGTCATTGTTATAAAACAATGTACAATGACATACTAAAACATTCGAACACCTTTTAAGACACAAGAGATCTTTGCAAAAATGTGTTCAGACGTTGCCCGGTGAACTAGTCCCTGCAAGACTTTAAAAAAAAATGCAAGTCGTGTGGTGGAATTTTTAAAAAGTTATTCTTTTTTATTTGGTATCCGAATATGCCAAAGGATGACTGTACGCGTTATTAGTCGCGTTTAGGGCTCGGTAGGTTTCGAGCAATGCCAAATGGTAGCGTTCTATCAGCAAAAACATCCGCCGTGCAGCCGACCTGACTATCATTCGAGGTGCGACCATCGTGACATTTCCGACGTAAGATTTATCGCGAACTTGCACGTAAACTATTGTGGTCGAAATTTATACGCGCGGTCGCAGAGATTGCTTCGGGGCCGCGCGGGTTCGCCACGGCCACCTTTAGCGGGATCGTCCTTTTACGTGTCGGCAACGAGCACCGAACCATAAAAACTACGAATATTTCGCGTTGTCACACGACCAATGCAAATGTTTGACCGACGATAAACGCTATTGTGTTTCTACCGCTGCGGAGTACCGGCGCACATTTTCTGCGACTTATCTTGACACCGCGGGTATTCAAGTATCGCGGGCGTGGTCCTCATGGTCAACTATAGTTTGCTCAAATAATGGCTTAAACCTTTCTGCTCCGAGCAATCGATATTTCTTTTAGCGATTGTCTGTATGTTTCAGCTTTGTTTCAGCCGTGTGCTAAGCTATTTACTAAATAACGATCGGATGGCGTTGCCCGGGTCCATTTGGACCCTGTGCTTAAAAGTTGTTATTTCAAAGTTTAGTTTTTCTATAGATCATAATCTATAGAAGAACTAAATTATCGAAAAGGAATACCTTAAAAGATGTGTTGAAAAAAATTGATGAATATAATTGTGGATGATCCTTATTTTCATTATAAATATTTATCGCGGACTTGTATCATTACATTTGATCATTATCATATAAGGTTACAGAAACTTTTCAAGAAGATGAAAATAATATAGAATGGCAATTTTAAATTATTATTTAGATGGATTTTCGGTTCTGCATTCGATCGCGCGCGCGCGCGACTTATTTTTCTCACAAATCCATGAAATCACGTGACTGGAAGCAGTCGTTGTTATTTAGTACTTCGATAAAAATTGTTTATGAAAAGTGAAGCACATTCGTAAATGTGTAAATTAACATTTTACGATAATATTTGGCGATAATGAGAACGCGAAAAGAAAGCGACCAAAAGATTCGAAGATTCTGTACGCAGATAAAATATTTAAATACAATTCGCAGCGTTTACGAAAAAATTCATGTTTTGATACAAACCGCAGGCCGCGAAATAAAATCGTGCGAAAGAGCGCAGTGTCCTTTCTTCCGACGCCCGCAATATGCACGTTCTCTTAAAGTAATCTAAATTTTATGCTCATACCTATCGACGATACCGCGAAGTGCGTCGTATGCCAGGAACACCGGTGTGTACGATCAATTTATTTCGACGTGATCTTTACCAAGCCGATCATGTCGGACACAAACGTATCGCTCGTCGAACAGGAATCGAACTCCGTGTTTCCTGAACACGGACGTTTGATATTTAGTAAAAAAGAAAACAGAACTGTCTTGCGTCAGAATCGTTAATTCATTATGATCGATGGCTGGCATGATACTTGAAGTATGTGGGCGTTGGTCCTGTACTTGTCACCTTCAAATTCCGATCGGTCTGAAACGGTCGAAAAAAGGTTCGAACGCTTTATGGATACATAATAAACAAAAGAGAAAATAGCCGGTGGGTTCTGTGTACCTGCTCGAAGACTGCAAAACTGAAGTTCGATCGCTATACCGCAGATTTCATGCATTTAGGGTAAAAATAAATTACAGCGATTCAAAATTGATCACTCAAAAGTTTTGTATTGTCACCATACGCTCAATCACTATGTTATAAAATTGTCTTTTCTCTACATTCATTTGTTTTCTAAAGCTTTAATGATTTTATTTACTTCTGACATGTTTTTGAGATGCGATCTTTCATTTACGTAGGCGCTCAAACGACTTAATTTATGACTTAATTACGCTTATTAAATCTCAGGAAAATATTGATCCACTGCTTCGTTATTTATAGAAGTTCACCCTACTCGCCGGTGGCGTAAATAAAGACGAAAATATTTCCACCTGAAATTGTTTGCACGTCTGTACGGTTGTCATGCACTTTAGCCTTCGCACTCGCAGATTTTTTTAATTCCTACGGATCAACGATGTTGGCGCGTAGCTAAGAAATAGAGCAGATCATAATTGGCTATTGTTAAAATGTTCTCGGCCGCCGGTGTTTATTGTACAGTAGTCCCTCTTTCATCGGAGGGTTATTTATCACGGGATGGAAGCATTGTGCAGATCCTTCTGTATTCATTAAAATCAGCCAGCAAAGAATAATAAAAGATCGTGTAAGCGCGGAATAATAATTTATCGCTACCGTTACGCGTGCATAAGCATGCGTGAATCACGGAATTGTCGTGCAAGTGTAACGCGCTACCAAGGAATTACGAAATCGCTCGTCGTTCTGCCACGTGCGCCTGAGACTTCACTCTTTTTTCATTCTATTTTAATAAGGTCCTGGTTCCGGCTGCGTTTGCTATGCTCTGCTGGCCGATTAATTGTTCTCGGATAGGACGGTTCACCGGTAAAGCCCGAGATCTTCGGTGCCGGATCACCGAGACATGATTCATTTTCTTCTCCGATTGACTTACAAGCTGAAAATTTCCAGTATCCAGTTTATATATATGCATTTATGTCGGAAGTCCCAGTGATTTAAACTGAACGCTGCACCAAAGATCTATGGTTTATGCGATAACTGATTAAGTCAATGGTACAAGGAATCAGTTTTCGAAGATTTTGTTCATTTGCTTGTAATGCTATTAATCGTATACAATAAAGATGTAACAGTCTCGAATGTTTCGCGAATACTTCTTTAAGTAACTTCTTGTAATCGAATTTTTGCAATTGGTTTAAACAAATTGCTATTACCCTAGGAACAACGTAGAAGGACTAATACCTCTGCAAGAATTATCTTCATAAATATGACTTGAAGAATTCGACGAATACGATTGAAAGCTAAAATGGCGTAAATCGAAAAAGTTAACTTGTGGATAACGAAGGATGATTTAAAAGTTCTGTTATATGTAATAACAAAAAGAGAACGGTACTCTTTTATGTAAGACACTTCACGCTTTAACGTAAAATGATCAACAAGAATCCGATGAAATATTAAATTAAATACGATTATTATTAAATGAACCTAGCAAAAAGAAATCAACTTACGCCACGCCGGCTTCAAACGACTCATTTACGAGTGGCGAACCCACTAATTCTTCAACGGACCCGCGCACCGCGAAAGCACGAGTGTTTCAGTAACGTGAACCCATTAGCGAGTGGTTCTATTATCCCGGCATAATAAACGAGCACAAACGAGCACAGGATAAAAAATGTTAGTAACATTAATTTAATAGACAGGTAAAGATTATATCAATTACTTTTATGCATCGGGTTGCACGTTCCCGGCGCAATTTATGCCCTGTAGAAGAATCCGTCACTGTGCGGCCGCGTTCGCGCTTTGGAAAGCGCTCGTAATAATTCTCGATCTTTAACAGGGGCTTCCTTCTTCCAAGGGTAGGGAAAGGTGGCCGCCTGCACGTGTTGCATTGCAGCCTCGTTAGATCGCGGCGACCGTTTTCAATCTGTTCATTGTCGATCGCCGAACGAGCACAGGGAGCAGTACACCTACTACGGGCCTCTGCACACCAGGCATCTGGTCCCTTTTGCAGCATTTTTCCACGGCGCAACGTTTCCCGCGTAC